GACGAAAATAATTTTTCCAGAATGATTTGAAGTTTTCTTTTTTCACCGAAAAATTTAGGAACCTACTCCCTACAATTTTTCTTAAAAATTCAATTTTCATTTTTATTAATTTTGTTTGACTCCTTACGGAAAGGTTGTCTAATACTTTTTTGTAGGCACCCATGTGAGTTCTACTTCAGAAAAAAGTTTCATTGAAATATTTTCACTATTGTAGGAGTTATGGCTGTTTGAATATTGGACCACTTTTATGGGGGTTTTCTTATTTTACGCGGACAAGGAACTACTTTTCCAATATTTTTGGAATTTCTACAAATTCTCCATTACAATACGCGTTGTTTGCCGTTTTAAACATTAAAATCCTCCAATTCGTTCAGAAGTTATGATGTTTTAAAAATTCGCATGAAAATTCGGGCATACATTTCTGGCCTCACATTAGATTGTCGGTAAGAAATTTTTTTCTCGATAATGCGTAGGAATTCGGGGGTACGTGTAATGACCAAAAATGATTATAATCGACCTCTGCAATTGAAAATAATTTTTTTAGAACGATTTGAAAAATTTTAATTTCACCGAAAAATTTGTCTATCTACTCGAATTTTTTTCTCGAAAGTGAGTTGGATTTCGGGGGTACGTGTAATGACCAAAAATGTTTGCATTTGATCCCCGCAACCAAAAATAATTTTTTTAGAATGATTTGAAATTTTTTAATTTAATTTTTTAATAACTTTTTAAGGAAGCCTCGGTCAAGAAATTGATATTCTTGATTTTCGTCTTATTTTGGTCTCTAGAATCTGCCATTAAAATTTTTCCCAGGCGTGGCCGAACATCCTGTATAGTTATATGCCAAAGTTAAATACTACGTACAAAGATAAAAGAAATTCCGTAAACCGCGTTACTTTTCTGTTAAAACGTGCAGTACATCTACCTGTTATAGCTAATAAACCGATAGAAAGTAGTCCCGCTATACCTGTTTTGCTCCTCTCGTTGAACAGAAGCATATTCCAACGCGAGATAAATGCCCGTCAATAAGAAACAAATTATCCGATGCACGATTATTTCCTTTTCTCTTTAATCAACGTGACATTTCGGATACAAAGTTACGTATTATTCGAGTAACTTCGAACCGGTCTTTATTTAGAAAATTCTTTCGTTTACTTTCAACGAGAATACGCACGATTGCCCTGTCGCGGCGATCAACGAACGATAAAGACGTGTAAGAAGATAGAGGGAACGATCTAGACACGATAATAACATCTTGGAAGCAATTCGAAGGAGTAACTATGTCCATCACGGTTTGCCTCGGGAATTGAAATGTTTCGCGACGGTGGTTCAGGATTCGCGCGAGGATCGCCAGCGCTGGGGACCTTTTAAGTATGCGTGCTCGAGAGATATCGCCATCGTATTTGGGCCTAAGTGGTGGATCGTGTAAGCCGCGTCAAATTTATAGTCCGATTCAGCACCGTGCACGAGTAATCCCTTATCTGGTTTCGCGGTTGAGGCGATCAGTCGGCGAAATTAATTGTACCAAAGGTCGTGCCTACTCATTTCTACCTTCGCATTTCTCTCGACGCGATTAAATTCTTTCTTCGTCCACTTCGATTTATTTAAAACGCGAGAAAAAGATCACGGTAAAAAAAGTCTGGAAATTGTCTTCCTCGTCGCCATCTTATTAATTGTATTTACTTTCCAACGTCCTACAATCAATCGTCGATTTGGTTTTCGTTTAATTCCTCGAACGTTCCTATTTTATTCTCCGCGTGTCTCGTATTTCTCACACCCTGTGGCTTTATTTTTCTGTTTCTTTCACTCCGGAGAAGGTTCTTTCCGATTAGCCAGTCACATATGTAGGTAGCCCTTGCCGACTGCCCGTTTCAAGCGAAAAGTTTGCCAAACAAGAGCAGCAGAAGGGAAGGGTTAACACCGTAGGAGAGGATCCCCGAATGGTAAAATGAAAACGATCGAAGGTATTAATCGCGCCCTGGGATAGATGATTTAATGCTATAAGCGTCCGGGATTTATGTCAGATTAGACTCCGCAGTCAGTTTTAATATTCTTTGCCTTGATCTTAGCAGTGGATTGGCATTGGGGAGTAACTTTTAAAATTAGAAACTCATCAGGTATGCAAAGTACTACTACGATCTTTAGTTTTCATCAGAAAAAATATACGCGTCATAGAAATCTTAAAGACCATACCTAATACCTAAAAATTCTTTTCTTAAACTTTACAAATAAAATTATAACAATGAACGAAAGAAAGGAGGAAAATATACACAAGAATTCTGAAGAATTCGTAATTAATTAAACAATCTTAATTAAACGAGAACCTGATAGATACTGTTTGTACGCAAAATATTTCATACAAAAATCCTTTTTACGAAAGAATTATTTTCGCAATGGCACCTTGAAAAATCGCGCGAAAAATTCCAGAAGAATCCGACGGAATTGGAAATTCGAATCACGAACGTCCACTGTGTCCCGTAATCTTTTTTTCAGAGATATCCTCCGTATAAGGCGAGCTTATAATTATACGAATGTGAGAAGCCAATAAACGAAACTGACACGAGGTGTACGTGTGGAGCTTAAATCTTCTTAAAAATGTATTTTATAAGCACGTTACGCGCGTAAATATGTCCACTATCTCTATCTGTGTATTTGATTACCGTTCGCGTGGAAATATTTATCGCATTATTTACAAATCCAATTGATGACCCATTTCTCCTTACTACTATGTGATAATAATATTTTATATTTGACAAGATTTTCTTACGGGTCTAAATTGCAATAATATTTTTCCAGTGCTGACCTTCGAGTAATGCAATGAATTTCTGAAACTGTTTAGCAGTCGTTGTTCCAAGCATAAAATTTTCACTACTGTGCAAAGCTACCTGAAACGAGTCTAACAACTAAAGGATTCTTGTCACGGGTACGCACAGTGTTTCACATTTTATCTCGGCATGACAGTGCTCGCAGATCTTCCCGGCCATTGTACTGACCGCACAACGTTCCTCCTAAGCGGATACGATGATATTTGAATAGTCTGTTCAAAAATTCTCTGAAATTGCTTTCACCTTCAGGACATTGAAATAAATGGATTGTTAAATACTTCTAAAATCACTAAATTCCACCCCTTTTACGTATCATCGTATTACAATAATATCTAGAGGTAAATGGATGAAAATTATAAACAAAATTTAAAAACAATACGAATTCAGTCTTGTTTCACTAACATACGCAGGAATTCTCGAGACACCCCGTATGCCACGTTACGAAAACATCACGTCACCGTTTCGAGATAAAAGGCAAACACGCTGAAGAGATCTTGGCACAGTTGCACTAACAAAATCGATTCTTCCAAGTTTCCGGCCACCGACGATCGAAAATGCACAAACATGGTAGGCAAGAGAGGCTTCCGTGCCACGAAATGATCGAAAAACCGTGCCATTTAACCGTTCCAACATCCAGTAAAATGTAAATCGTCGCACGCATGGAAAACCAAGTGCTGAGGTCACGCGTGACTCACGACTGTACCGGGGCATTCTTGCCAAAAATCGTCGAGGGACCGATCGCGTCGCGGATATCTGGATTTCAGGATTACGAGAATTCGGTTCTCGTCGTTCCTTTTTCGTTCCACCGTTCTAGAGGATTCTTCCTCCTCGCAGGATAATAAAAAAGCCGATGATCCCCGCCGCCGGTCCCTGGTAACGTAACCCGTACCATAAAATTCACGCAACGCCTCGAATGGAGGGGGAGGGGATTGAAGTTTGCGAACCGAAATGTTCGAGGAACCGCTCGTTCGAATATCAAAATGCGTTTCGGTAACGAGCGTCCTCCTAAAGAGTAATCTCGGGAGTGCATTTACCTCTGCATTCCAGCTTTCAGTCGCACAGGTTCAACGATCAGACTTTTTCTTCGTTGCTCGAGGTGCGCGAAGATTCTGCAGAAATCGCGAAAACCGGAAGTCGACTCGGGCGACTATGACCGGGTCGACGACTCGATCCAACGGACAAGTTTTCGTACCGAAATAAGTTCACTTGAGGCAAAGCGAGCGTATAAATAAATTTTTATTTGCTCTGATTAATCCTGAGGGACGTGTCTTTCGTTGCTGTTGAATTTAGATAAGAAAGGATCAGTGACCAGAAAACGGTCAAAACTCGTCGAAATGAAGAATGAAAAGAATTATTTTTCACGATGACATGAGTTTCACTATATATATAGATTAGAGAGATTGCATTAAGTAACATTGCAGTAGATAGTCACTAAATAGATGGTGCGTTAAAAACTTTCCACGACAAGGATGCATGTACCAGCTCTATTCTCTATATTCGTCGAGGGTAATGTCTTCCACGGTCGCGTAAGGCGAGATCTGGATTACGTAATGGGTTGATACAAGGAAAGGTATCAAAATAACCGCGAAGTTGAACGAACAGCGAACCGACTCGCGACAATACCGTTACAAAATATTGTCGAAAAGGCTCCGGTGTCCAAGTACGTACATCTCTCGGTGGGGACCTTGACATCCTACGCGGTCGTCGTCGCCGTCACCGCGTCGAAATCTTTGTCTTTTTTTCACGTTAACCTCGCGAGCAACTGACCGGTCATTCTAAATCTCCTCCAATAAGAATCCACCCAATCGGCGCACCGAATCGCGTCCTTGTGGCTTCTTCGACCCCGCTGACAAGCAAGTGGAGGGGAATTTAAGCGGCAACAAGAGTGGTGCAGAAGCGTGCACTTCCTGAGCAAGAGTCTCGCCGCAGGATCCTGCGCCCGTGTAATTGGGGTCCTGCAAAGCTACTCCCTACGAAGCAGGAATGGTGGGGGATGCCCTATGTAAGCCCTCGAACCGACCAGGTCCAGACCATCCAGCATCAGGACATCGTACAAGGACTCGGATACTGGTGCTCGCGACCGATTCCACCAACGATTAGCGCGGGTTCAACGTCAGGCCTCCTCGAGGGTACTTGTCCCCCGGAATATCATCGATCACACGGTCAAAGGCCACGATGAGGTTCATCTTGATATTCGTGACCCTCGTGCTCGGCCTCTGCGACGCTGCGAGACGTACGACGACCGCGGCTTCGACCGCCGCTGCCTTCGGGGGCAGGCAACTCGCACAAAACCGCGGCCAATCTCAAGGTTAGTGCTTTTCGTCGTTAGTGGGCTCGAAATTTCGCTGTTTCGGAAGGATCGTGTTTCAGAAATTGGTAGAATCAAATTGAAAAATGGTGTAAACTCGGAAGTCTAAAGACAAGGGGGCTGGAGTCCAGAATCGGGAGAAATGTAATTTGGTTACATTTTAGTAATTTAAAAATGTGGTTTGCTAGAAAAAGATAGTTGTTAGAGACAAGTAGAAGACGCGAAACTAACCCTAGAGTCGACTAGAGTCAAAGGGTCAAGTATATTGGTGCTTTGATTTTTTATTATTTATAAATTTGTTACTTTGAATTAAGTTAAATAAAATATCAGTTTCACCCTGAAAAATAGTGTCGACTTTAATTAACTAATATTCAGTACTTTCAGAATTTATTTCCTCAAAAGAAAACTTGCTCATCAAAGACAAATGGAAGATTCTGTTCAATTAGAATCCCAAAGTCGATTAGATTTCCTTACCACCCATTTGAACAATACAATAGTCGATCTCTTAGCAATTTTTTGATTTCTTTACGATTGCCTTTTGCTTTTACTGCGATAGGAAACGTATGGGACCTCGTGGAGCTACAGAAGCTGGACAAGCAACAGGACTTTTGGAATCAGGAACCGACAGTGAATACCACCGAATCGGAAGATGCAAGCACGTTGAGCGGAAGACAAAGCTATCCGCTGCTTCCAGGCCCTGGAGACACGAACGAGCTACCCGGACCCATAGCGACTCCCACACCCGCACCGATCCAACCACCGCCTGGATGTTACGGTTTACGTGGACAGTTCCCGAGCCCTAAGAGCTGTGTTAATTATTTAAATTGTTGGGACGGTGTGGTTATCGAACAGTCTTGCCCCGATGGTCTGCTCTTCAACGCGGTTAATTTGGTTTGCGATTACGATTACAACGTGAACTGCGGCGGTCGACCCTTGCCTACGCCAAGTAAGTAAATTACGTTGAAAAATCTAACAAAAATTTTCCTACTCTGCAAGCTATCGACAATTAGGGCATAAACACACTTTATGGGAATTAATTTTACTCCAAATGATCCATAAAAAAAAATTTCCTACATTTTAAAATTTCATTATAAAAATTCTAAATACTTCTATCTATATATAATTTCATTGAAAATATTGTAAACAAAAATTGGTCCTGCTCTAAAAGCTATCGACAATCAAAAAATAAATACACTTCGACGATTTGCAAAGAAATTTTCTTCATTGAGAGAGTCCACGATCAAAAAATATAATTACCGGTTACAAAATAAAGAATTACGAGTGTTTTGCAATCGCGAACGGAGTCGTGGGAGGTATAAAATTTCTGTTAACGATATTTTTGAATGTCGTAGAACCGTCTCTGCCCACGGGATCTAAACTGTGCCCGGAGTCGAATGGCCGCTACAGAAGTGCGACGAACTGCTCGGAATTCTACGTGTGCGTTTTCGGAAGGCCCGTCAAGTTCGGCTGCCCCCGCGGCCTGGTCTACAATGACGTAAGATACACTCGTTCTTAACTCGTTCCTAGAGCACTTCTGGAATTTTAAATCGCGAGACGACAGAGTGTGTCGTACGCGTGTGAGAATCTCTTTCGCTTAAACTCGCGCTATCCTTCACGGTCAGAACGGTCGAAACTTCCGCATCGTTGCTCGGAAATTAAATTCAACATTAATGTAGTCGACTTCTGAATAACTGGTTTAACTGGTAAAAGGTTAGCGAATGGATAACTTAAAATTTCACTTTGCAATGTTACCAGAGGCACTGAATTTAGCAGCCCCCTTCTAAGTTACAATTTAAAGATAAACGAAACCTTTTCAAATTTAAAATAATCTGTATTAAACAAGATATGGTTTCTTACACGACAATATTATTGTCGAGAGCAAGTATGACCTCAAAAAATTAATTTTCTTGCTTTGAAACTGGGAAGTTAATAGTTTTATTAGCCTAGAAAAGCTACTACAGTCAGTAGGTAATATTCAGTCTGAACACTAGAACTACCAAAGCAGTCAAAATGACCCATTCGTAATTTCTAATAAAACTAGTAAATTTTCCCAACTGAATTTTTGACGTAATTTTCTATAGGAGAGTGAATGAACACTTATTTCTATTGCATTATGCATTTCTTCGCGTATCTATCATTTTAATTGGTGCAAATAAATACACTATAATTGCCGGTAGTTTTAGCATTAATTACACGATACACGAGTATAAAGATAACAAGGGACCTAATCCAGTTACTATGCATACAACTTTGACTAATAAAAATAATAACCAAAATCTTTTCTTTGACCAAAAATTCCACAGTTATTGGGTGTCTGCGACTACCAATACAACGTGGACTGTAAAGGTTCAGCAACCCCTGCACCCCCAACTCCATCGGGAGGCAACAGTCCATTGACACAACCACCACCTCCACCACAGTCGCAAACGTATGGACCTGTATCTTCCTACGAATCCTCTCCACCCCAACAGCCACCCTCTTATGGACAACCAGGACCACCTTCTCAACCTCCACAATCATCATCTTATCCTGTCAACCCTTGGCTGAATACTAGGACCAATCGTGATCCTTGGTACCAGGAATTGAAAATGAACAGGGACGAAGAATCGCTCTTCAACGGGCAACAACAGCCGCTAGAGGCGGTTCAGAATCCATGGAATACGGTGCAAAATATTCCTGCGAGCCTAGTCTCGGTACCGTGTGAAAATGGTATCGTGCATAGGCTCAACGACGCCTGTACGAACGTGGTGATTTGTAGAAACGGTCATCCTCAACTGGTGCAATGTTCCGCGGGGCTTATGTACGACATACCATCGGAATCCTGCCAACCACCCTCTGTTGCCAAATGGTAGGTCTTTAGGGCGATCTTATACCATTGAACAAATTAAAAATATTCTCTAAATTTAATAATTTTGAAAGAGAAATCCCTATTCCATTTAATGGATTATATTTTTGTCTGTTTCAGCTAATCGACGAGTCACTTACTATTAGAACTAACGCTTTGTACTATCTACGCTCATCACTTAAATAAAGCATCGATTTTTCTTAAATCTCGAGTTCGATACTTTCCCCTGCGTTCGATGTTTTTCAGCAAATGAAATTGAACCAACGACCAAATTTAATTTTACATTCAAATGTATTTTATTCTTGTGTACCGAATGTAAACTGCTTTAAGAACTGTTTTTAAATGAATCATATTCTTTTAATTTTAGAAATATTAACTCGATTTTATATTAATAAAGCTAATTGAGACAGTTGCATGCAACAATATAATATGCTACTAAAGATCTTCCGTACTCAAAGTGAATTTATTATAGAAGATATTTACATACAACAGGGAGGGGTATTTATTTCGAATACTAAAATAACACTTTGTTTCTATAAAAGGAAATATGGTATAGTGACACAAATTGATATGTTAAAATAAATTAAAGATTTTCCCAGATTGTTATTAACTAAAAAGATTCGTGTATCCTCTGGATGGTAACGGAGAATTTGTAGTAGCGTATATGTCTTTCGTTCTTTACTGTAAGAGAGCGGCACTGTACCTCAACGTTCTCCAGAAGCAGAAACCAAAAGATACAAAGCCTTAAATCTCAAAAGAGACACGTAAAGAGACATCAGAAACACTAATACTATTTTACATTTACTGAAATACTTTAGAACAGTGTTTCTCAAATCTCACTCCCTCAACTAATCCTCTACAACCCCACACAACGCTGAAATCACGCTTTAAGTCTGACTTAATTGTATCATCAATCTAGTAGAATTTTACAAATAACACAGATCGATTATAAAATTCGATATCATGCTCACAAACAATGATAATTCAACAAAAACATGCACGAACATGTTACCTGTTTGTCACAATTAGAAGATGGCGTCAGCAACATATCTGTTCTGCTCGAATTTGAACATGATTAGAACATAATTAAGAAAAACACACGTATATACGTAGCTTAGAATTTTCGAATCCTACGATACTAGTCACCTAAACGTTCACGGAACAAATAACGACCCTAATAGGCTCGAACCAATTTGTTGAACGTCGAATTGGGTGAGGAAGGGGGATACCTAAACCTGACCCAAACTTCTTTTTGCAATTTGTATTTCTAGTATTTACACCGAACTCGCTTCAGGTAAAAAAAACACGACGTCAGCCTTTAATTTCCCAATGATTTACTGTCCTGAACCTTTTCTAGGCTATATATTCCACGAGTCTGTTCATCTACATTTTATCTATACGATTCATAACTAAATTGATTTGTATATACTTTACTTCTTAAACAATATGAACAGTACGACGTGTAATATTGTATATACTCTCGATTTAAACGTTTATTTCGTATTATAAATGTTCAATTTGCGAATTGTTGCAATTAATTTCGTCTACACTTTGAATACCGAGAAAGTGCATCGCTCAACTGCAATAATTTCGTGTCGGTAAAAACGAAATGCAGTTTCTGCATTGCCCGAGTCGTCGGTAAAGAAGTTACCATAAAATTATCATTAACATAATTACTATGTTCGATAAATTCAGACTATGAACAATAATATCCACGATTCTTAAAAGTCATTCGTTTCTTATAAGAAAATTATTATGTATAATATGTACAATCAGAAAAAAGGATAGTTCATACATAGAGAATAAAATAATGAAATAATTTACACACAATAATTTCAATTAAATTTATATTTATTCTAAAAAGTATTCAAGCATTACGAGCAACTATCTTTCGTAATTCTAGAATATTTTTGGGAATTTTAAACCAATGTTTCATTAAAATTTTCGTACCACAGAATTGTGAATATTATTATAAAATTTTATGGACATTATAAAGTATCTTTGTTTTGTTCAACTTTTTGTGTACTCTTTCACCGAACCTTTCTTTATCCTTGAACAATATTCTCGTAAGAAACGTTAGCATAGACTTCCGACACCAAGCGGAACTTTAACACTCCTACATGGAATTTCACAATTGTTTAATCGTTGGATTAAAAACGAGATACGATAGCCTAAAAATGTGCCCGTCGAAAGCAATCTTAAAAGCGTTTAGAAATGAAAGTAAAGAAACTTGAAGAAAGTCGAATGTACGTTTCACTCGACTACATCGTGAAATTTCAAAGTTGCGTAATAAATGCTTCTTTGGCATTGCGATGTTATAACGCGTATTATTTTTTAGAATAAATGCAAAAAATATACGTGCACAAATTCGATAGAAATTGTTTAATTCGAAGACTTTTAAAATTAAATAATTTCCAACGTATTTCTGTTATGTTGAAAAAATGACCTTTTAAAAACCCAACCAAATTTTTTTTTATCTAATAGCTCATTAGATACATGTTAATAAAAAAATAAATGGTTTATGATTGTAAAGCCAAAATGGACAAAAGGGTAACGTGTTCACATGGCGTGGAAATCCCCAAAAAACTTTGTATTTGCAGTTCAACAATGATATACATTGCTTTTTTAACATTTTATTCTTGTAACACCATCACACCTTGGTTTTGTACAGCGTTTCTTTCTGTCAGAGACAATCGGTCAATGAGCCATCCTTTTTTAGATCTGCTGGCTTTGCTACAGTCAGACTTTTGTATTCTCTCCAAAAAAAAGTACTAACTATTCCTTTTACTGTTTTATATACATATAAAGACCTGTGCAGGCATATTGATTTTCAGAACTTTCGATCATTTTGGTCTTCTTCGTTGAGATACAAAAAAAAAAGTACAGTCGAAGGTAATGGAAAAGCAAATGTTTGGCTTCGTGAAATTCTGAGTTTCAATTACGCTTGCGATTTCTACAGCATCCTCTGACCGGTATTCTGCTAAGATTGGACGATTTGAAATGTGGAACTTGGGCAACGTTCGTGATGTTCCCTCATTTGCATTCCTGTTTTCTCCTTAATGGACGTCGTTGGAGCTGATTAAAGTCGGTTCCCCTGGTCGTTCGTGATTTCGTGGGTATTTAGAACTAGTCTCTTTTTTTACCTGTTTATTAGTATGCATCGGAGACCACGCGTTTCGTTCAAGTTCGTACAAAAGCACGGTAGTCGGGCGTGGCAGCAAGAAAGCCGGGAAAGTGATATCTCTTTGCTGTCAGTGTGTTCTGTTCCATTCAGGTGCGCATTAAGAAACTAGCTGACCCTGTTGCTCGAATAAACGTTAAGTTTATTAGATAAATCCCTGCTCGGAGATCCATTATATTTCAACGCTCCTGCATTACATGAATTTACTGAGATCCATACAGTTTTCTATAATTGTTACGTTTAATTTCATTATTTTGACACTGTTCGATTTCAAATTCAGTGTTTAGATTTACTTATATCTTGATTAGTCACAATTATGTACCCAAGAGTTTTACTAAAAATAGCTGGTGCCCTAACACTTTCGACAGTGTTTGTTGTGCTGCGGTTGCTTAACTAATCGAAGAACATTCTAACAGAGAGTTAATAGACATTCCATCACTGAACACGTCGTTGCAGCCACAAAACATCAGAAGTTCGTTGGGCTTTTGCGCCTAGCGAGATTTGCTTGCCATAATTCGAAAGCTTTCCCGGAAAGGTCGAGGCCGACAGCGCTGTTCTTTTTCCCGGAATTTTCCACAACGAAGGAACCGCGCGGTAATATCGCAAATCACCGTATCCCCGCAAACTCGCGAACAATTTTCACAAATCTTTTCTTCCCGCGACGTATCTCTCATCGATTCTACAACGCGTTTCTTTCGAAACGTTTCTGATTTTCTCTTTCTTCTTTCACTGCAGAGATCTCACAAGATCGTTGAAACTGGCTGAACTTTCCTAAATAGTTACCGACATGTTATTACATCCATAACTATAATTTATTTACGACTCTGTAAAACTGGTGTTTTGAATAGACTAGACTCCTTTGAATTAAGAATTAAAAAATTGACATATTAAAAGCTTTTAAGGACCCACCCCTGTATAAGACTTGACTTGTTTATTTGCTTCTTGAATTTTATTGCGTTTTGTATGACGTGATAATAAATTTATATTTTTTCAGAATACAAATTTATTTTATTCCTTATCAATGATGAACGAGCTTTTCAATTCTAAATTTACTCTAATTTATTGGCATTACTGCATCCTTTGAAAGAACGTTTCGTCACTAAATTTTATTTCATTTTTTTCTTCTTTTATTTAATGTCTTCGTTGCAAGTTCATAGTATAATTTATTATAGAACAGGGATAGTAAAAGGTACAGTAATTTTTCATTGAATCATTGCAGGCTACAAATCTAATTTATGATTTCTAATTAATCTCCATGCTGATTAACTAACTAATGAACATAGGAATGTATCTACAAAGTAATCACTTGTTACTCAACTCTGAAGTCGACGATGGCTCTAGCACAAGGAAGAAACATTGCTTTTTCTAACCACATTTTCAATGCGTGATTTCCAGTAATTTAAACATTTTTTATATAATATTTCCTATTTAGAATTACGTAAGATATTGCTCTTTGTAAATAACATTGGATGTTATGTGTCGTCTCTGACACAGAGAATTGCCAGGGTTCTACCTTGTTAAAATAGTTGCTTTAACAAAGTAAAAGTTAAATTTTTGCATTACGTATTCGAATTAATTCCATTTCCCAAACTTATGGAATTTTTTATCAAATTCGAACCATCGGACAATCCACGTTGTACTACCTTAGGTTTTCAAATTACGTTTCAATGAATATCCAACGTAATTACATAATAGTTTTAACGCACGAAACAAAGGAAGCAAGTCCTTGAAGAATAGCGGTAAAAATATGATTCATAATTAAAACTTAAACTCGTAAGTCTTGATTGATCGATCACGCGATCGTCGAAAAAAACAGAAAGGGGAAGTCGATCGTTCGATTGCGTTATGTACACGCGTTGTGCATGTTATAAATTCTCGTTGATATTGCCGGTTCGAAATCAATAAAGCTTGAAAATGGGCGCAGAATACGCGCTGGTCCACGA